CTCCACAGGCTAGGTGATTGCAGCCAAGCTGCTTTGTTCTTGGAAGATTGCTTCCTCTCCCATTCTTCCTCTACCTTGTCTTCTTTGGGGCAGGAACTGTTCCTCTGCATTCGAACATTACCCAACAAAATTGGTGCAGCTGTAACACAAATCAATAGGAGCAGAATGAAACCATACTTGTACCAGGAAAAACAGTAAAACAGTAGATGGAGTTGCCTGGGTTGAACTTCTGTGTTGAATGTAGCAAGTGTTATATGCAAAGTTACAGAAGCAAAAATGCATTTCTACATGCCCTTGAGAGAGACAGAGCACAAATCATTCTAATAGGACTCAGGCTAATTTTTCCACTAGAGTAACAGTGAGAGGATACGGCCTCAAATACCCGTGCCTTATAGTTAACCTCACCTAGCGGCAGTGGAAGCAACTCTTTCTGACTAGAAAGCTCAAGAGGAATCTTCTCTTCTTCAATGCATTTCTGTAAGAACGTCCTTACCCCCACATCTCCAAGTTGCCAGGGAATGTGTTTGGGCAGCCCTTGCTGAGAGAAACTGTATCAAACACATCGAAATATCAGTGCACACGCTACCTTTTTTTTTTAATTTGGTTAAATATTTATGATTTACGTGCATCTGTCATGCACTGACTGACAAGGACGTAATTCATCAACTGAGAATTCACTTCTAGGCTCATGCTAGCCTTACAAAATTTGATTCTGAATCCATTTCTCAAGTAGCCAACACTACAGACATTCATGAAGCATTATTCTGTCCTGCCATACCCTAAGGCCACCAAGGTTGTCAGTCTTGCTCCCACTCTAGGAAGTGTCTTGACACCTGGGCATAGTTTACTGCTTAATTGGACATCAAACTCCACATAAAATTGCCGAGCTGAACTCTGAGCTAAAAGGTTAAACATTCAGTCCCTAAGCAAGACACTACACATAGAAGTGAGACACAAGGAGATGCCTTGTGTATCTGCAAAGCAGAAGGGAAGAACCCTCTTAGACACAGCTGCTGTCTAACAACCATGTTTTATGCAGAATGCTTGGGGGCTACTCTATTTTTATAACTTTCATCCGTAAAATAAGAAGCTAAAGCTTCTGGAAAGAGAACACAATTACCCTACAATGATATAACAGAATAAATTCAATAAAATCTGTATAAGCAAAAAAAACTTAATAACTGCCTTATCATCAACCTTCACAAATTATGTCCAGAGCCATATGCAGGTTGGCAACAAGGCATAGTGCCTAGCTAGTTTTTGCATCTAGTTGTACAGAAGTAGAGACATATGGAAATGAACAGCCTGGCAGAACAAGTGAACTCTGAAGCAATGACTTCGATAAATAAATGCCTGCACACTGGCAGATGGAAAAAAGCACAGTAGGGAGGAACTGTATTGCAGCAGCAACTTGATTTTAAACAATCCATAAAAATTAGCCTGAACTTTGGAATCAAGGCATTTCCAGTTCTTTCAGTTCTCTCTTGCTGGGGACAATTCTCACCATCAAAAGGGGAAGATGAGTGTAGAAAGATTTATCTAACAGAAGATACCAGAAGCTGCTTCAGGAAGCAGAGAATAGGACTGGGAGGTCACTGATTGTTTTTACCTCTTATTGCATTGCTAATCATTAGTAGCTTTCAGAAAGACACAACCAATCATTCTCAAAAGTCTAGAAAAGTGAGATGTGGAGAAGCATTCTCGAGCTGTATGGCAGAGCCTGAAACATGAGCACAGTGGATACAGGTACATGTGATACACAGACCTTTCCTGCAGTGAATGGAAATTTGTGCTTGATGCAATAGCCACTTTCTGCACTCATTCCTCTGGAGACCTGTCTGTTCATAGGCAAATTGAATCTTTCCTATTTGCAGGCTGCAGGCTGGTTTCTAGTAACTGTAAAATGTGAAGATCAGAGGAAAACAAATATTACTACTCCCCTGCTCCTAGCAGGGGACTAGCACATTTATTCCACTTTTTGGGATACGGGAGACTCCTTGTCTGGTGATCTCAAAGCTTACTCTTCCTACCAGTTCTGAAACATTTTCCTGTGTACACCCTCCAATCCCAATCAACATTACAGTCTGAGAGATAGCAAGGGAATAAGCATTTCTGTATCCCATCAGAAAGCACAGTGCAATGCAGAACATTCTGTGCAGTATTTGCATTACTTTTACACACTATGTGGTGTGCACAGCCTCATATGTCTCTGTCTCTTTCCTCTCTTCACTAATAGCTTCCTATATAATAATTAGGTCACGTGTCTTTATGCATTAGATGCAATCTGTCAGGGAAGATTTTCAACATGCAACTGTCATTCAAGGTCTCCAAAGACAAGAAGAAACTAAAGAGTTCAAGGTACATTTGAATTCTTTGGAGTCTACTTCCCCAGTAGGATTGCACCATACTGGCATGGTACGCAAGCAGTCAGTACCTGTGGTGACCTTCTCAACTATAACAAGCCACCCCTACAAAATACCACTGACGTGCATGCAAAAGCAGAAAAAAGCAGAACTCCCTGTCAAATGTGTACTAATTTTCTCCACATCCAGT